CCCTGTGATGCTTGTGCATACGGAATATGAGGATGTGGCAGAGGGAAGGACTTCCTTAAGTCAAACTGCCAACTCCCAGATCCCAGGGCTTTTGAGAGGCCATTTCAACATCATGGAGCAGCAATTACAATGGAGCAGCAATTACAAAGAAATGGGTACCTGAATGCTGTTAGTTGCTAGCTGAGGAATGTGTTTTGCCCTCCACTTTTGAAAGCAGCAAAGGACCCCTTGCAGCATCTTGCAGAGGCCCTCTAATGGCACCCTGGAGGCACTCTCCTAGTGGGGGACCCTTGCAACCTGTAGAGGCTGCTGCACAAGACCACCAAGAGGCTCAGTGGTTTAGACCACAGTGCGACCCGCATCCCTTACAAGACCACCAAGCACTGGCTGAGAACTGGCCTTCTGTTTTTGATGCAGAGGCAATAGGATGGAACATGGTTGCTGCACGATGCATAAACTATATGTCATATGACTTTGTTGTCTTAGATCCAGCACCGCAACTCAGAGAAAGATTTGGGAGCCTATGACAACCTGTCCCACTTCTACAGCAAACACACTTCAGTTCAGAGAACAATTGCCATGTTCATCAGAAAGGTTTGGGTTAACAATGCTAGGCCAGTCACCAGACACACATCCCTAAGAATACAAGTCCCATGGTTATTCCAGGGATGCTCAGTACTGGGTTTGCTCAAGGTGAAATTGATGCACAATAAATCCCCTTATACGAAAGTGGTCATACCTAGAGATGGGTAGAATAAATTTCCTTAGGGAGGTGTGGCATGGATCATTTGCAGATAGCCTTTAAAATTTGGCCAGGATGGCATGTGTCTCAGCCACTAGGACCCTGCAGTTGGGAGAGTCGCTTGTGGAATATCCTGTGGAAGGCCTTAACCCATGACATGGGCTGCTAATCTGAACATGGTTCCAGAATTGCAGGTGGCATGTTGGTGACTCTAAATTAGGACAATCTTTCTCTCTCAATAGGTGAGTTCCAGTGGGTTGATCAGTCATTAAGTGAGAGCTTTGCTAGCTTTTGGTAATTCTGCAATTGCTTTTAAAAATGAGGGACAAATATAGAAAGAAGATGAATGTAGTTTTCCTGCAGACCAGTGTCTTAAAGAGTCTTGTGGTCCCTTAAAGACTAATAAATTGGTTATGGCATATGGTTTAATGGACTACAGTCCACAAATTGAGCTACTTATTACTATTATGCATGTAATTATCACACAGAGAAATCTTTTCCAAAGCCTAAAACAGATATATGTAATTACAGCATTTCTTTATATGTGTTTATTTTAACTATTTCTATATATGTAATATTTTAAGTCATTTTGGGTTGCCCCAGGCAAGATAAAGTGACTGACAAATTTAATAATATTGTTTTAAGATGTTTTAATTAGTTCATATATGCAATTATTTAACTGTTTTTATTTATGGAATTGTTTTATACAGTGGTACCTCGGGTTACATACGCTTCAGGTTACAGACTCTGCTAACCCAGAAATAGTGCTTCAGGTTAAGAACTTTGCTTCAGGATAAGAACAGAAATCATGCCCCGGCGGCACAGCAGCACCAGGAGGCCCCATTAGCTAAAGTGGTGCTTCAGGTTAAGAACAGTTTCAGGTTAAGAACGGACCTCTAGAACGAATTAAGTACTTAACCTGAGGTACCACTGTATATGGTTTCATTGTCTTGTAGAATTATTTTAAGATGCTTCATAGGAAGCAATTTGTAACTAAAATTAATCATCATCATCATACTTTCTCTACAGTAGGCTAAGCAATAAGTTTCAGGTAGCACTCTAATTTAGATTTACATTTAATCACCATATGCAAAGTGGCTGTTGTATTACTTGCAGTGGCACTTAAATCAGATTGAATGGAAACATTACAGACCCAAGCTCTGAAAATATGTTTATGAAAATATGTTTGCTTGCAGGAGGGTTTTTTATGTTGTTGTTTTTTTGAGGACTCCAAAGAAACACCTATACTGTATTAGATTTATTAGTCTTTAACTTATTTTGCATTTATATTATTGATTTGGGAACTGCAGCTTTAAGAGTTAGAGCTTGCTCTCCCCTTCTCCTTCCCGTTCCTTTTTCCTTGTGTGCCATGACTTTTTAGATGGGTCTCTTAAAACTGGTGGGTTGGGGGGGCACTTACTGTAACAACTTCATGGTGAGTACCAGCACCATTTTTCTAGGGAGGGAAAAGGTACTGCCTGTATATATTATATAATCCAAAAAAGCTATAAAGGGAAAGGGTTGGTGAGCAGTGCCCCCTCCTCATATTCCGACTACATGCTGTTTAGCTGTTTGGTGAGATACTGATATTACAATTCAAGCAGGATAAGAGATTGTCCAGAGAAGTCGCATTGAACATGGTTTTTAAAAGATGGAAGTATTTCTATAGTTATAGTAAATTGCATAGCCTCAGTTCAAGGCTTTTGTGGCAAGGGTGTTTAAAGAAACTGAAGCCAAGAATTCTGCATCTGTTAAGGCATTGCTGTGGTTAATATGAATGATAAAGTAGCAATAAAGGGCTTTGGAAATAGATGGCTTCCCCCCACTGTTTATCCTTGAATGTATTGAAGAGTGGGCTTTTGGACCTTACTAAATCTTCTTGTTACACCACTGGAATCTAAAACGATCCCACTGCAGAGGTGAGTCAAGAGCCCTGAATTATTCAAGGGGTACTTTCTGCTGGTAGTGAGTCAAGGACCCTTAATTATTCAAGGGGTACTTTCTGCTCACTTTAGCTTTTAATTAACTTCTTACCATTCTTGAATGTGGTCTGACAGCCGGTAATATTCTTAGGCTAAGTTAAACTACACCATTTATTTATTTTTTATTAGTGAATATTTTTGGCATTGTTGAGAAACACTTCCCCTTTGCAGTAATGTTTAGCACTCCTTTTTGGCATGAAAAACTGCAGACTGTATGATGCAAATCTTTAAAAAAAAAAGACTTAGAAACAGCTCTCAGAGGACTGGCCAACCTGCAATGCACTTTTTCGGGCTGAGAAAAAGTTAGCAACCCCTACCATTGATGCCTTTGAGGAATTTGCACACAGAGATTTGGAGAAAGTGGAAAGCCCCCGTCCCACTTTGGCGAGAACACCAGGCTGTTTATTCATCTCTAGAGGTAGCTACATGCAAGAACACTGCTGAACAGCCCTGAGGTGAAGTGTGGCAACAGGCATGCCAGCATCTCTTCCCAAAGATCCTTAATCCGATTGGTGTGGGAAGCAGTCATGCTGAGGTAACTCACGATGCAGTTGCCAGAGGATTAACTGGTTGCCAGATGAGTAACTGGGACCTGTCAGGCCTGTGGCTGCAGGTCTGCCCTGGCTACCATTTTGTTTCCACATGCAAGTCATTGCCTTGACCTATAAAGTTCTGATTGGCTCAGACCCACAGTACCTGAAGGACAAATGCAAACGTTTCCAAAGTGTGTTTAAAAGATTGCAGCAGGTGGGCTTGGGGGGGGTGTTCCACAGTTAGGGTGCTAGAATAGAAAAGGCCCTGACTCCATCCACCATCAACAGCTGGAGCATGGTCTCAGCTGAGGATCTTAATGCAGGGGGGATTTTGCATGGGAGTAGCTGGCTGGAGACTGGAGGCATAATTGATGGGAAGGCAGGATATAAATACCATTCCTTCTAATACTGTAAGGAAGGCAACTATGCCAACATTGCTGGAACCAAAATGGGACACTGAGCAAAAAGAGGGAGATATTGGCATGGTCTGCAACACCCTCCCACTTCAAATAAACTCAGTTAGGATTAAGCATGTACAGTACCTCTAGAACTCATGGAATGTGGAGTGTTAGGGTTCATCCACACTTTTGCTTGATTCATATTCTGTGTACCGATCATATTGTGTACTGATTAATTCCCCCAGGTCTGAGAGCTTTTCTTGTGGTTCTGTGATTATGCCTTGAGAAAATCCAAACTCACCCATTGAACTGAACCTCGGTTTAAGCAAAATGTCTCTTTGGATTTCCCACACATCTGAGAAGATCTGATTCAGTGAGAAGGATCAGAGCTTTGCAAGGCACAGCTATAGAACAACAGCAAAAGCTGTCTCAGACCTGGGGGAATTAATCAGTACACAATGCAATCAAAGTATGGCTCTAGTGAAAGTTTGGATGAGCCCTTACTTGGAAAAGAGTACTGGAAAACAGGACAGGGAGTTGAATGGTCTTCTTGAACTCCTTCACATTTTATAGTGTCCTGAGGTGAACTTGAATGGATGGAGCATAGAACAGGAGTGCTCCTGTTAGGGGGTGAGCGGAACACCCTGCAACATTATAGCGGCTCTTGCATGTATAATATAATAGCAAATCCCAAGTCTGTTGTGTCATTATGCCTGTTAAACACTGGGCTTGAGTCCCAGGGAGTGGAGAAGGATCTTATTTGGTCTTGCTCCAGATATGTGGACTTGAGCTGCAGCTGCCATATTCTACACTTCTCTGAATTTTGCAGTGTCTACAAAAATATGACCCTTACAGGGAAACTGAATATATCTTTTAGACAAAAAAAAAGGTATATAAAACATAGATTTGGGGGAGAGTATGTACAAAGCTGCATACAATTTAAATGCAGGTTTTGTGTGCACTCTTTGGGGCAGAATGAACACTAAGTACCGTATTTTTCTGCATATAAGGCTCATTTTTCCCCCTTAAAAATAATGTCAAAAATTAGGGGGTGTCTTATACATGGGACCATCTCTCTCCCCCCCCCATTTTCTTAAATCTGAGTCCCCCAAAATAGGAGCCATCTTATACATGGGGGTGTCTTATAGACGGAAAAATATGGTGCGTACAAAACTGAGACACAGCAGGAAAAAAAAAAAAAAAGACCTGCTCTGTTCATCCGTCTCTCCTCCAGCCACAGGACTAGATGCCCAAATCACATTGGTTCTCTGCTGCTTGTATGATGGAGGCCCTTGACATTTGCATGAGTACAGCTCTCTGCTTCCAGCAGTCTTGACAGGTAGCAGCAACCGAAGGTGTGCTGGAAAGCTCCACCCCGGAATGTGCCTTTTGGAGATTCCTCCTCCTCTGCCTCGTCCTCCTCCTCCTCCTCACTCCCAGAGTGCTGGGAGGAGCCTCAGAGCTTTGATGCCCTTTAATTGGGAAAAAGGCTGTCTCAATGCTCCAGAAGGCGAGAGCGGATCAGGAAAAGGCCTGCAAGGAAGCTGGAACTCCTACCAGGTAAGTGTGTTCATTTGTTTTCCCTCACCATTGTGGGCTGAACTGCAACAAGAATGCCTTTTGCAAAAGGTTTTAAAGGTGTTCACTGTAAGGTGGGGACCACAACCTGGTGGGAAGATGTCGCTGCTAGGCAGACAATACTAGGTGGACCTATGCCTCCTGACATGCCTCCCTGTGTTCCTGTGGGGCATGTGCCACAAAAGTCAGGCTTACTATTAGTCAAGGTAAATCAGGGCTTCAGTGGTCGAGATCAGATTTGTAACATTTGAAAAGGCAGCCACTGACACTACCCTGATAGCCTTCCCCTCACCGAAGAACCACAGAAGCCCCCGTATCTCGGGAGAGGAATACAGGAGTTCGCAAACCAAAAGATGCGACTCCGAGGCAAACTCAAGCCCAGGCACCCCGTGTGCTTGAAATTAAGCACCTCCTGTAAAAGCGAAGAGTCTCAGGTTGCATCTGGAATTTCGTAACAAAATATGCAGGCTTAATAGTTTCATATATATAATAGGCGGGGTGAGAGAATGTTGTTGTTGTTTTTCTCATCTGTGGTGTCTATGAAGATCTCGGGGTCTTGTGAATGTTATGCTCACCTTGTGGGGAAGTGTTAATTCATCTTTTTAATTCATGTGCAGCAGATCCCCGTGAAATTCTTAAGTGATAACACTCGGAATCTTATGGTCCCCGGTATTTTTTCAAATGATCTTTGAGAGCTGGGAGGAGGAGCCAGTGCTTTGCTAATGTATCATTTTAACATTACAGGAAATGTCAAGAGTTGATTTTACAGCTTTTTTTTAAAAAAAAGAAGACTAATCAGGGAAAATAAAATGCTGCAGAGACAGAATTCATTGAGAGCAGAAATGTTGATCACAATAGTTTGAAGATCAAGTGATCACTATCTATGCTTCCGTATGGAAGGTATATTTAAAAAACAAAGTTTGTGCAGAGCATATGGGCTGGATCCAGAATAGGATAGTTTGACTTAGGTTCTATTGAAATCAACGTGACAAAGTTCATCATGGCTTAACCAGGCACAGCAATCTGGGGGAGTGCTGTAGCTCAGTGGCACAGCATCTGTTGCATGCAGAAAATTCTCCAAGATTTCAGGAAGAGTCCAAATCCCTTCAAATCTGTGTGTAAATATACCTGTAATGAGCTTCCCCCACCCCACTAGCTAACCTTAACTGCAAGTTTCATCCTATTTTCAAGCAAGTAACACCTCACTGGTAAGAGAGAGAAGGATAATCACTGGGGGGGGGGAGCTTCTAGCATCAAGGAAGACAAAATTGAGGTTCTTGGGCATGCTGAAGAGCATCATTTCATGCAGGGGAGCATGGGATTTGCAGGTTCCTATGTCCTTTGAACTGGACTGTGGGATCAGGGAAATTTAGAAAGTCCATACTCCCCAGCCTTTCCTGTCTCAGACACCCCTTTCCAATAAGTTTTTGTTACTTGGAATGGGTATGGGATGAAGTGCCAAATCAGTTGTTTTTCAGTGTTTTCTACAAATACTGCAAGTATTTTGAAAGAAAATGAAACAAAACAAAACAAAAAAGCAAGCCAAGAGAAGTTGCAGGGGGGGGAGGCAAACTGACAATGAAAGAAAGGAAGGGAAGGGATTCACTGCTGCTGCTACTACAAAATTTCTTTACAAGGATTGTAAAAAAAAAAAAAAAAAAACCCATGAAGCAGATACAAAGAAGAGATGCATGATAGTTACACGGAAACTCTATTCCAACATAATCAGGTGGAGATGGGGGAGAAATTAATTCAGCTCCCTTGTCACCGTGAACCTACCTAATCTGCACTTCCTGAACCAATAAGCAAAGGGAAATGCAGCTGTCTCCTGAAATTTGCACTTCTCTGAATTTTACAGTATAGTTTAACAGCCAAAAACATCATGCACAAGGTACACACAAAATTCCATATGTTAGTGAAAACAGCTTACAAACATGCATTATATTTGGGGGAATGGTTTGCAAAAATGTAGACATTAGAGAAAATTGCGTACAAAAATGAGGACATTTAGAGAAATGTGGATGAAATTATACAGGGATTTCTCTCTCTCTCGCACACACACACACACACACACACACTGCTGCAGAAATTAGCTATACTACAACTATAAAAATGAGGAACTAGGAAAAACCAAAATGGACAGATTTGCCCATCCTAGCATAAGGGCAGATTAACAGCATCACGCCCTAAGCATCCAGGGGCCTAATCTTGGCTGTGGTTAAAAACAAAATTATAAAAATGGAAAGTTTGTCTGATCTAGCATGGCAACTCTTGTGCTGTGCTTTTAGTGCTAGGTCTGTGATGAATTAGTAAACCTTGGCCAATCGTACAGATTAAAGATGAATCATCTTTGTGTCAGTGTTCCTGCAAAGACATTTTTTTGTTCCAGTTTCTCAGTCTCCATTTGGCTTTCTAGAAGAGATGCTTGAGAAAGGGGAGCATCAGACAGCATGTTAATGCTCTTATAAACTTTAATCAGCCTCCCTCCCCACTCCTCCACCTTGAATCCACTCCAAAGGCACCTGGACCCATTCCCTCTAGGCTGCTCTAAATGCCTTACTTTCTTCAGTACAGGCTTTCAGTTCACGTGCAGCTCCTTCGGGGAAGATCCTTCTCTCCAGAAATTCAGCACTAGCCATAGGAAGCAATTAAGGCTGCCTGTGTGTCTTCTCTTCCCCAGTGCCTAGGCATGTGTACATTAAAAACCTATGGGTTCCTTTGTAAGAATCCGGCACTGTCATGCTGCAACGAAGGGGAAAGATGCAGGCAGTATTGGCTCCAGGTTTGGGGGGCCTTGGGGCAACATGCTCAGAACTCAAAAATGAAGTAGAAGTGAAGAGGAGGGGCTTCTACTTAATTTTTAGGTTCTGCTGTCCATTTGCATGCCCTGCTCCTCTGACTCTGTCCACACCACCACCCAGGTGCACCATGGTTGCAGCTCCATCTTCTCCTATTGTCTGTTGTTGCTCAGGTGTTTCTAGAGAGCAAGTGATCAGGCAGTGGCAGCAGCAAGGAGATGAAGCACAGAGCTTGGGGGTTGTCACTGGGGCACCTGTTTTGAAATGGACTTTGCCCAGTGATGTCAGCTTTCAGTCCTGAACTGCATCACTTCGGACTGTAGGTGAGACCTCATATGATGGGCACTCCTCCTCTGTTTTAACACATACATGCAAAACTAGCACTTGATGGGAAAGACTCAGACAGAACCCTTCCCCGGGATACTTCCAGCAATTTTTGGCAAAAACTGTTAGGGTCCACCTCAAATTTACAAAAAATCAATAGAGTCTACCCCCTGGGTCCAGCTTCAGATTACCTCCTGGTTCCACCACTGTGGAAAAAGATTCTGCCTACAGACCCAAGAGTGGTCAGCTAGGGGTGGGGAAATCTGTCAGTTGTGGTTTCTCATTTTTCCAAACTAAAGTCCAGTTCTTCACATTCCCACACTAGTTTTTAAATTTTATTTTAGAAAGTCCTCATGAAAATTTGTCAGGATCTTAATATGACTTTCTCCTAATATACATGTTTTTATATGCAATTCCCCCTAAAATGCAAAGCAATTTTCCCTACTATAGTGCATTTTTGTATGTTACGCTCATTCATATATGTATTTTATGTACACTTTACCCCAGTATATGCATGTTTTGTACACATGGCTTGGCTGGAGAACTGCTTCCAAAAATATGAAGAAATGTGAATTTGGGGAGATGGTTGTGTTTAGCTTCTCATATAATTTCAGAAAGTGTGATTTAATTAGGTATACCTTTAAATGCAAATAGAACCAAATTTCTCCTCGATCCCTATGTTCAACCCTAAGTTCATGTGTTAGTAGTGTGGCCATATCTTCTCTACAAAGCTGTCTAATCAAAGTCTGGTTTACAGATGAAGAAACTCAAAGGACCTTGAATTTGCCCATCTACAATATTTGTTCAGCAGCCACATAAGTTTCCTAGTCCCAAGTCTTCCACATTATGGTGCAATGTATTGTATTCCTGATTAATTATTTGCATATGCTAACTCTATGTAAACTGGTGCTTTCCCATCTGATGTTGTGTTTCCTCTTTTTTGGCATTGCGTAAGTTGCCATCATAGAGATGGCAGGTCTCCATCGTTTCAAAAGCAAATGGAGACGGTCTTGAGAACTCACAGCACCCCAGTCTCATACTAGAGTTCACCACTGGGCATCTTCCTTGCACACACACACACACACACACACACACACACTTTATTTACTGCAGCAGTTAGCAGTTCTTGCCCCTTTGGGAGATGAGGGCAGGGTGGATAGATTGTGGTTTCTTTCTAGCCTGTACGGACATGTTGCTAGCTTAGGCAAAACATATGACATCCATATGGGGGAGAGGCACATGGTGTGGGGGTGGGGGAAAGTATTGGGTGTTTAAATTGCTATGCATGTTTTCTAGCCTTGGCTCTTTAACCATTTGTAATCTGTGGTGAGGGGAGTGGCACAGCTGAACCCAGAAAGTTTATTTTATTTGCATATCCATTTCATTATATACGAGCTTTTTGCCAAGGCACCCAAGGCAGTTTACAGTTTTAAAGGACTAGAGCAAATTATATTCTAAGTGTTGTAAGTAGCTGGGCCAAATCTCCTCAGTTTCCTCGATCATCCATTCATTTCCTCAGAAACTTCATCCAAGATTCTTCAGCAGGGTGGGAGAATCTTGTTGCTTTTTTGATGAAGTCATTGAAGAGTTGGAAAAGGCTCAGAAAAGTACCACCACAATGATCAAGGGGAGGGAGTGACTTCCCTGTGAAGAAATGTTGCAGTGTCTTGAACAGGGCCAGATTTAGGTTTGATGAGGCCCTAAGCTACTGAAGGTAATAGAGCCCTTTATATGTCAACAACTAATTGTGGCTGGTTTTTGTGTTGGATATATGCTATATGGTAATTTATTGACCATATAGGTATCTAAAGCCATTTGCACATAACAAAATATGTATTTTATCAAAGTAATTGTATTTTTTTCCCTTTAATTTTTTTGGGGGGGCCCAAGAGAGTGGGGCCCTAAACTATAGCTTGTTTAGCTTATACATAGATCCAGCACTGGTCTTGAACTTCTTAGTTTAGAGAAAAAAGCAAGTAAGAAGTGGTATGATAGAAGTTTAGAAAAACCATGCATGGCATGGAGAAAGTGGATAGACAAAAGTTTTTATTCCTCTCTCATAACACCGGAACTCATGGACATCCAGCAAAGCTGGATGTTGGAAGATTTAGGACAGATAAAAGAAAGTCCCTCTTCACACAGTGCATAGTTAAACTACGGCACTCGCTCCTCCAGAAGGCAGTGAAGTCCAACAACTGGGATGGCTTTAAAAGAGGATTAGACAGATTCATGGAGGAAAGGGCTACTAGCCATGATGGCTATGCTCTACCTCCACAGCTGGATGCTGTAATGCTTCTGGATACCAGCTGCTGGAAACTACAGGAGGGGAGAGTTCTCTTGTGCTCATATTTCGCTTGCCAGTTTCACACAGGCATCTGGTTGGCCACTGCGAGAACAGGATGCTGGACTAGATGGGTCACTGGTTCACTGATCCAGTGGGCTGTTCTTATAGGGGATTTAAGCAAACATCGTCCTTAACTAGAAATAGTGGTCCTAAACATGATCATCAACTTTATGGTGGGGGTCTTAGGGGTAGCACTTACTCTGCCTCCCAATTCAGTTTGGGAGGCAGAGGAAACCCCAATCCCATGATCCCCAGCAGGTGATGAAGCTCATCAGCAAGCACTAGAGTGATACTCTCTGCAGCCTCTATCAAGCACTCTCTGTCACCAGCTACCAATTCTTCTTCTCAAGGTTGAGGGGTATGGCTGGCAACAGGTCAGTGTGGACAAGAAGCAGCAGTAAATACTAGTCCCAAAAGATATGGGAGAAATTGGAGCAGTTTGTGACAGGCCATCAAAGTCCCCCAATTCCACACTTACCCTATTGTTAGTTGTAACATGTTGCTGAATTTGGAAGTAAAGCTTTTATCTCAAACAGCTATGAACCTTCATGGTAGATGATCAAACCTGGCAGGCATTGCAGAATGGGTCTAGAAAGATAGCCTGCAGATGAAATGGTTTGAGAGTAATCCTGAAGGGGGAGGGGAGGGGAGGGGCTTAGGTTATTTTGGTTCCATGCAGCGAATCAGGTCTAGGGATGAGGTGTTGTTGACAACCTATCTATACAGTGTTTCTTTATACTCATACAGGCAACATCAGGGTGTTACAATATTTCTAATTCCATCTTCTCATGTCTTTTCAGGAACTGGAAGTAGAAACCAGAGGCCATGAACTGGGGGAGCTTTCAAGGGCTCCTGACTGGAGTGAATAAATATTCCACAGCCTTTGGACGTATTTGGCTCTCAGTGGTCTTCATCTTCCGGCTTCTAGTCTACATAGTGGCAGCTGAGAAGGTTTGGGGAGATGACCAGAAGGATTTTGACTGCAACACTAAGCAGCCAGGCTGCCCAAATGTCTGCTACGACCATTACTTCCCAATCTCCCACATCCGCCTCTGGGCCCTACAGCTCATTCTGGTTACCTGTCCTTCCCTGCTGGTAATCATGCATGTTGCCTACCTGGAAGCCAAACTAGAAAAACATAAGAAGAAGGTTGGGGCAGACTATGCACTGCGCTATCCTCCTGGCAAGAAGCGTGGAGGCTTGTGGTGGACCTATTTCTTGAGCCTCATTTTCAAGTCTGCTGTGGACATTATATTCCTCTACATCTTCTACCATGTGTTCCCAAACTACACACTCCCCAATGTGGTGAAATGCTCCCTTGATCCTTGTCCCAACATTGTAGACTGCTACATAGCTAAGCCCACAGAGAAGAACATCTTCACCCTTTTCATGATCAGCACAGCCTGCGTTTGCATCCTCCTCAGCCTCCTTGAAGCCTTCTACCTCGTTGGGAAACGATGTAAGGAGCACCTCCAAGCCAGAAGTGAAAGCCACAGGAGGCAGGACAGTGAAGTATTCATTATGAAGAAAGACCCTTCCTCCCTGCCCCCCGGTAAACATAACCCAAATGAAATAGGTCTGGAGGCATTCAATAGTACCGACTATAAGCCTTCTCCCTTCAACTTCACATCCTGCCCACCTCAGACAGCTCTGACCTCTAAAACAGCACCATCATAAGCAACCCTTAAATCCTGGGGAACTGGGTAATGGAAACCTTATACAGAACTAATATTACCTATTTTGCATATCAGCACTTTCTTTTAGGCAGGACATGGATGTGGTGTATGAGAGGGAGAGAGGGATGGTCTTTGTCCGACACTCACCTAATTCAGACTGTTCAATTTTCTGATATACGCACTGATCAAAGAAGTCTATACTAAATGGTCATATCCAAATTCCCTGGTTCTTGCAACTAATTCGATCTAAGCCACTTACTGTTTGCATATTGTGGACGTGTACTACTTACACGTTGCAGATTGCACTATTTCTGTCCAGTCCAGTTTTCAAAAATCTACCCACCACCACAACTGAAGGTGGCTGGCACACTTGGTCTTGACTGCTGAGATAGAGAGAGAGAGAGAGAGAGAGAGAGAGAGAGAACCAAGTCAGTTCAAAGACAGGGATGAGTTTCTTCCAGCCATCATGCCAAAGTAACAAGATGTACTGAGTGTAAAGCTGTCAGTCAAAACTATCCCCAAATGCCTGACAGAATAAGTGCATTTGACCAGTTTCCTGGAATGACGAAGTTTCATAGCCTGGTGAACTCCCTGGAAAGTGAAATCCCTTCTCAGCTATGAAGTTTACTGTGTAACCTTGATTCTTCCTGTCACTCTCTCTCAGTCCAAACTACCTTGCTGCATTGTTGAGGAGATAAAATGTGAGACTTGCTTCCCTGAGCACCTTAGAGGAAAGGTGAGATAAAACTGAACACAAATCATGTCCCCCAAAGCAGGGGGAGGGAGAGAGAACGATAAGGGGAAAGGTGACTACAGGATGATTACAGAACTCAAGCCTATAAAATGAAAATGCTGATATTTGAAGCACAGGTGCCCATGTCCAAAGATTAATGAGAATTACCACAACTCAGAATAAAATTGGATTAGGTTGGGGTTTTTTCCTTGTTTCCCTTTGTTTCATCGAGCATTGATTTGAAATCAATAGGTGGTATTCAAGAAAGTGTTATGCAAAATAGACCTACTGAAATTAATGGACCTAAGGAACGTCATGTTTATTAATTTCAGTGGTCTACTCTGAGAAAGACTGGGTTCAATGCCACCTGATTTGAGTCTTGGGAGATTCTCATTCATATTTGGATATGCCCATCTGTGTCCAGGAATGGCTAACATGATATGGTGGTGCCCAAGGACCAACCTACCAACAGTGGCATTGCTGCCACTTACCTGCAATGGACCAGGGTGGCAGTGAGACTGGGGTTGTGTGAGCAGAAGCGCCAGATTGGCACCATCAATGCACCTGAGCTGTCCCAACCTTGCTGCCACCATGCCTCATCCCAGTAAGCAGAGCGACCCTGATGTTGGAACAGTGGCTCCATGGCACCACCCCACCATCTGAGCCATTCATGATTTGCCGTTTTGTTATTGCACTATTGTTGTAAATGCTGGTTGGGGAGGTGAAAGGGGTAATAGCTTTTTCTTTTCCTGCCTATCTTCCATGTCACATCTTATTTCCAGATTCTGTACCGCACAATACAGCTGTGACTTTTGAATGTAGACAGACAAGTGCCTTATCAGTTAAAATGCAAGCAGAACAAAGAGGTGGGGGAAAAGGTGTATGTGTTTTATTGAGATGTTCAATAAAATGTGAATAATAATTTTAAAAATTCCCGTTGGGCATTTTATTTATCAATGTGTTGCATTTATACCTCAGCAGAACTCAAGGTAGTATGCGTGGGTCTCCCAGAAGTGGTGTGGGGCATGAAATTTCCCATTTCATAAATTGATTAGTATTAATGAAAGCACTTCGTTATGCAACTCATAGCTGAACTATGGAATCCACTCTTACAAGAGGCCACCAACTTGGGTGACTAAAAGATTAGACATTCATGGTGGATGAGGCAATTGATAGCTATTAGCCCTGGTGGCTATCTCCTACCTCTAGTGTTGGAGGCAGCATGCCTCTGAATATCAGCAGCATGGAATCACAGGTGAACAGAGAGCTGCTGCACTCAGGTTCTGAATGTGGGCTTCCCATAGGCTTCTGATTGGCTACTGTGAGAACAGGATGCAGGTGCAGATGGGCATCTGGCCTCAGCCAGCTGCTTTTTCCTTTGTGTGAGTTCCTAGGCCAGTTGAAGACGTAGTATTAGGCAAGCTTGGTAGTATAAAAGTTGTAATTAATGTTTTTCAGGTAGTTATCCCTAGCAAGTGTGTCAGGTAATACGTGTATGTCCTTCATTTGCATTTGTAAATGGCGGGGTGGGGTGGGGGAATAGAAATTACAGATACATAATTTTACATCAGGGTTAGATGTCATTAGGATCCATGTTGGGCATCAGGGGCCCTTGACATGGTATCACAGAAGGACCCACACTCTCCAGCACACATCTTCTTCTTTGGCGATCACTCATAGTCGAGTAAGGTTGTCTTCCATGAACACAGTCTTAGCGATGTGTCTGTAAGTGACTGTGGAGGCCAATACTGGATCCACACATCCTTCCACAGTGGGGACTTAGGTTTCCAGGTGGGAGCTGATCATGGTGAGGGTTTGCCAAGCGTGCCTTCCTCTTAGCTTGTTTCTCCCTTTTGCCCTGAGTTTGAGTGTCTTCAAAGTCCATGACACCTTTGGTAAAGGCTGTTCTCCAATAGGAGCGCTCGCAGGCCAGTGTTTCTCAATTGCCGGTGTTTATACCACATTTTTTTAGATTTGCTTGAGAGAGTCTTTAAACTTCTTTTGCTGACCCCTCCCCTAATGCAGTTGCACCGGGTGAGTGGGGTGCTGTTTGTGGTGGTGGTAGCAACACCATTCACAGTCCTCACTGCTGGGTCCTGGGCAAGCATTTTAGCAGTGGGACAAAGCTGCTTCTGAAAGGCCGAAAACAGCAGTGCCGCCCATGGCTACAACTGCTGACAAGGGCCCCAGTGGGGAAGGGTAGGGAGCTTTGCACTCATTCCTTTGGAATGCATGGGAAGTACCTCCCACTTTTGGAGGGGAACAAAGAGGTGTTTGTGCATCCCCGGAAGTAGCTACACCCCAGAACATTCCCCAACAGTGTTGTTGAAGTGAGGATGTGCAGTGTGGGAGAAAAGGGTGCTGGTGGCTCATCCCAGATAATCTCAAAATTGATATGGGAAGCAGTTGTGTGGAGATACATTGACATACAGTTGCGAAGTTCTTGACTAAGCTACTACAGTGGTACCTCAGGTCAAGAACTTAATTCATTCTGGAGGTCCGTTCTTAACCTGAAACTGTTCTTAATCTGAGGTACCACTTTAGCTAATGGGACCTCCCGCTGCCACCTCAGCACGATTTCTGTTCTCATCCTGAAGCAAAGTTCTTAACCTGAGATACTATTTCTGTGTTAGCGGAGTCTGTAACCTGAAGCGTCTGTAACCTGAGGTACCACTGTATTTCCTTACCATAAGCAAGTCAAAGTGTGGGTCTTAACCTTTAAAGCTCTAGTGTGCTTGTTTATTTAACAAAATGTCTGTACCGCTTGTTCTCTCAATGATAATTTTTTCATTTAAAAGACAGCAACATAGCCGCCTAACAAATGAGGCTGGGGAAGGGAGAGGGCTCCACAACTTTGGTGTCAGTGTAGAAAAGGCCCTGACTCCACCTGCCATTCCTAACGTGAGAGAACCTGCAGCTTGGCTTCAGCCAAAGATCTTAATGCAGGGGCTGTTTCATATGTGAACAGGTGATCCCTTGGAAACCTTGACCCCTGGCCATTTAGAGCTTTATATATCAAACAAGCCAGCAACTTGAATTGCATGTTTGCTTGGTTGCTGTTGCTGTTCTTGTTGTAACTATTTGCTATAGGCTGCTGGGGTGGCGGGGTCAATGCTAATGGAAAAGCAGGATATAAACCCCAGTCCTCCCAAAACTGAAAAGAAGGCACCTGTGCCAACCTGAACCAAAACAGGCCACAGAGAAGCAGGAGAGAGATATCTGCATCTCAGGGGAACTCCAAGGTTCACAGAGATACAAAACGATGACACCCCCTTGAAATAAACCCAATGAGGATTGAGCATGCTCAGTGGTCTCTAGAACCCAGGGCCTGTGGAGTGTTAGTTAGAAAAGAAAACTGGGAAACAGGGCGGGGAGTTAAATGGTCTTCTTGAACCCCTTCAAGATTTATAGTATGCTAGAGGTAAGCATGGATGGAACAGGAGTTGTCCTGTTAGGTGAGAAGAATGCATTGTAACATTTTGTGGCAGCTCCCAATTGTATTAAACAATAGCCAGTCCCAAGTTTGTCCAGGAACTTCATCACAATATTTGAACACTGAACTTGCACCCTAGGAGTGGAGGATTCCATTTGGTCCATATTTTAAAGTAAACAGACCTAGTTTGGTATTCTTCGAAATATACCCATTTTGAAGTCACTTAAATTGGATAGTGTGCTTTTCTGAATTTTGCAATGCTTACCCCAAAAATGTGTTTGGAGGAAAATGCATGATAAAATGTGCATTGGGGGGGGGGGGGAATTGTACAAGTTAGGGAAACGTTTGCAAAAGTAGTGAAATCTTGGGTCTCTTTTAGGGGACTGAATGGACTAACCATCAAATCCCTACCTCCTGCGATTGTAGGACTGGCTGCTCAGATCAGTCAGATAGATTCTGTACTGCTGTTCTGATGGGGGCCCTTGTTGTTTACCTGGTACAGCTCTCTGCTTTCCCCAGCCTTGACAGCTAGCAACCAAGAGAGTGCTAGAAAGCTCCACCCATGGAATGTTTCTTTTGGAGAGTCCTCCTCCTCTGCCTTGTCCTCACTCGCAGAGTGCCGGGAGGAGCCTCTGAGCTTTGATGGCTCTTAACTGGAGAAAATATTTTTTTGATGCTTCGGAAGGAAGCAGCAGACTGGGAAAAGGCCCGTGAGGAAGCCAGGACTCTTACCAGGTAAGCGTGTTTGTGGTTTTCCCCCGTCACCACTGTAGGGTGAAACTAGCCTGTTGAGAAAAGTTTGAGCTGCTGGGAGGGGGGCAGGAAAAGCAGAACAGAGAAAGGTTGTAGTGTAAGCTTAAAGCGTATATTTTGCTTGCAGGATGTCTCAAATTTCACCCTCAGCAACTCAAGTTACAGCTGGAAAAGAGACCCCCAACACACACACACACACACCCCTCTGAAATCCCTGAGACCTGCTGCCAGTCAGTGTATGGACAATGCAAGTTGGACCAATAGGCTGACTCAGTATGAAGTGGTTTCCTATGTTCCTATGGAATGACTTCAGGGCTTCAGGGCTGGAGCTCAGATTTGCAATGTGAGACCAGGCTGCCACTGAGGCTGCCCTGAAAACTTTCACCTCTTTGGAGAGTCTGAGAAGCCCCACATACCTCAGGAGAGGGAAACTGGACTTTGCAAACTCTAGTCCCCTCATGCTTTAATTTACACTGGCTGTAAAGGTATCAACATGCAAACGGCAAAGAGTCTCATCTGGATTTTTGCAAACAAACATGCATGAGTAATATTCTCTTCTGTAAGCCGGGTGGGTGTGGTGGAATGTCTTCCATGTTTGCAGTGCTTGCAGATGCTGTGAGGACCTTGTGGGGAAGTGTAGATCTTGTTCATTAGTGCCTAGCAGATCCCAGTAGAATTCTGGTCAGAAAACAAAAGCACAACATTCAGAACCATAGGGTCGCTCGTAACTGTTCAAATGGCATCCTCCTTTCATGCTGGGAAGCATGGGACTTGTAGTCTCCTTGGCAACTTGAGTTGGAAAGTAGGGAAAACGGCAAATTTCGCACACCCCACCCTTTCCCACCTCCAGATCCGCAAGATGAGTCTTTCACTGTTTGTGAAAGGTGTGCAGTGTGAATGGTGAGGTGGGCTGTTCCGCCTTTTATTTTTTTAAAAATGCTTCTCCACAGTAATAAGAAAAGTATTCTTAAGAAAAAATTAAAAGGGAAAACGCCATGCAAGCCAAAGAGAGTTACATCACGCCAGAAATATTCAACAATGGAAAGGAAAGAATGAAGGAAGGTCTGAACTGCCACAGACCCATCATGCCTCACTAGCTGGCTCACCCAAAACCCTACCTCTCACTCTCTCCTCACCTTCAGCGTCATCCTACATGCTCCAACTCTCCTTATTTACAAGGGACGGTCCCAGTTTTCTGTTACTTATGCCTGAGAAATCACTGTTGGTTTTAAGGGGTGCCTTATTCAGATCTTGCAAGTGAGAATTGATAGAGTTGTGCTAGTGCTGGGAAAGTTCATACTTAAAAGGAACTGGTTCCTTTTTTTTACAAAGCAGGCTATTCAGTTCAGCTGTATTCCAATGAACTTTCTAGTTCTTAAAAACTTCATCCTCAACATTTGGAATATTACAAGGTGCTGTGTTGAAGTACAGGGTCCAAAAGTAAGTCAGGGGCCACAAGATGTCTGACAGACAGAATGTCAACAGATGAAGTGTTCTTTATTATTGTATTTCCATAAAAGACAAGGCTTCCCCTGTTTAATTTGTGCCAGCCACACCGCTGTTAAAGGCACATGGCATCATTCTCTTTGTTCCTGTACCTGTATTTTTCTGTGCAAGCTGCTCCTGTTGGAAGAGAGTGGATCTCTCCAGCAGGGAAGATACAGGAAGTGCCTTACATTCCTTCCTTCTGATTGTTTAGCAACAGTGATTAAATGACTAAACATCCTTAACAACAGCAGCACCTGTATATCTGCCTAATAAGCCCTAAAACATTGCCTCAATGTTTTGCTTTCTAACTTTATCAATATCTGATTTACTTACTGTTTTTAAAATGAAAAATAAGAGTCCAGACCTCCTGCTGCTGGGGGAAGAGCATGAACATGAAGATGAAGTAGAAATCATTCAAAAATTCTGCCCCAAAATGAATGTAATTGACTTTTAGTTCACTGATGAATTACCTTCAGGTGTAGTCCAGAGATTTTTGAACTGCGAACTTTGTTCAGCTGAACTAGAGGTGAACGAATCGCTGTTGCACATGTATATAAATGCATGCGCATGAACATCAAGTCAATGTGCTATGCACAAACAGCTGTATCCTACATGCATTCACTAGGCCAGGCTTCTTTGGCCCCCAGATGCTGTTAACTAAAATTCCTTCTTCCCTGGCCATTGGCCATGCTAGCTGAGGCTGTTGGGAGTTGGAGTCCAACAACATTTGGGGGGATAACAGGTTCCCCATCCCTGCACTAAGGTGTATTTTTAACTTTTTGTAACAGATAGAAGACAAATAAATGTCTTTGAATAAAATTTTAAGGGGAAGAGCAACTGCTCTCCCTATACATAATTTGATGCAGAACAGGCTATGGCTGAGTTAAGAAATAAAGTGTACAAATGCTTCAGCAATGTACAAAAGAGGAACTGAGGCGAGTGCCAGGCAAGATCCTGGCCTTGGTATGAGATTAGGGGTGTGACTCACATGCAGCTCCCTATTGCCATATGTGAAGTGTTGGATGGTATCTCACCTTTGCTTCTATCAGCTATAATGGTGCACCACTCCTGTCCTTATTTCCTTCCAAAACTTAGCATGCACAATGTATGTGGGGCTTCCCTTGTGCTTGTCCCAGAATCTGCAGTCAGTGCAAAATGCAGCAATGTGATTGCGGAGAGTAGTGAGATCCTACAAACATGCTACACCTCTTCTCAAAGATCTACACTGGCTGCCAATCTGTAACCACCATAGCTGAGTGGGGTTTTGAACCCAAGTGTCCAAGATCACAGTCCTCTAACCACTGCACCACACTATCTCTTCTACTGTAACAGGAGGGTCTGAATAATGGCCAGCATGTAGGTTCTGCCGTGGCAATACACCTTTCCATTCTCCAATGTTTCTTGCAAGTACCAGCTCCATCTGAATGTTCTTTCTACTGCTGTGTGCCACATGGTAGGGTCTGGAGCACTCAGATTCCACTATTTCCATCAACCCCATATCTACTTCCCCTCAAATAATGTGATAGGTAATGCAGGGTAAGGCCTATGTGCTGTTTTCCACAAAGCACACCTGTTCCTCCTCAAACACATGACAGCACCATTTTGCCCACAGGGCACCTTGAGGAAATGACAAGAAGACGGGTGCTGGAACTGTCCAGACATGAGATGGGTGCTTAAAATCTCGTGTCACCTCTTTTGCCTCCCAGAATATGTCACTTCCCATCCTTCAGGGAATGGCCTCCTGGATTGAAAAGCTGAATCAGCCATGCAGGAAACTTCATCCTTGGCTTAATTGCATTCCACCTACATATTGTACAAAAAGGTGACTAGAGTTTGGGGTGCTCAAATATTTCACTATATGCATTTTAAGCAAAACAACCTAATTTACACTGTCCAGGTTAATATATGGATCAGAAATCAGAAATCCTTAGGTTTTCACACTTCTCAAAGTTTTGGGACCCAGTTTTTGGCTTAAGAAAAGTAGCAAAATGCATACAAAATTTCATGTTTTAGGTTAAAATGTGTATTTTACTGTAAAATGTGTACCGATTCCTTATTTACATCCCAGCTTTACACCAAGAAGCTCAAGATGACATAAATGGTTTTCCCCTGCCCATTTAATATTTACAACAGCCCTGTGTTAGGCTAAGAGATACAGTAGCTGACCCAAAGTCACCCAGTGAGCTTCATAGCTGGGTGGGGATTTGAACTCTGGTCTCCCAAGTATGACACTCTAACTACTACACTATACTGGCCCATCTCCCTGAATATACAAAAGTAAAGTGAATTTTCATGCACTTTGTTGAAAAAGTTGCAGGTTGATGTGGAAAACACAAGCATTCTTCAAAAATTGCACATTATTTTACAATGCAGTTCTCCGGCCAAATAATTTTCTGCCCCTTCAGTTTTGCTGGTGTTCAATTATGAGCCTGTCGTGTGCCATTTTGTGAGGATTTCTTTTTTGAAGGCTGCCTGAAGAGTCCACATTCAAACTGTATGCATTTTGTTCTCACTTTTAATGTAAGATGCACCATGCTTTTCATGGTATTTCCCATGAAACACACATTTTGTACACTTTTTCCAATGTAAAAATGAGAAATTTATGGGTCATTTTAAGCACACTGAAGTTACACTTCAAAATTATAGGCAAGTGTGTTGTGACCCACACACAGCTGCAGGAGTCTCAAGTCAACTCTTATCTGCTGAAGAAAGGGGACTTGAATAAATCTCTCCTCCATCTCTCACTACAACCCTGTTTGCTGAAGGACCACAGAAGCTTTGTGTAGTCACAAGGTCCCTTCCAACTCTACAATTCGTTGATTCTATGATCTACCAGTTCACCACTACACTCAAGTACACTTAACACAATGTTTGTATCTCAAGTTGGAAGTGACTCTGAATTAGCCAACCACTCCCTCCTCTTCCTTCTATAACTAGGCACTGCTTAACTGGATGTTGTTGCGAAATGGGAGCACCCAGTTTGCTTGGAAGACTGTGCCCAGGACTTACGATGCTTTCCCTTCACCCCATTCCAGGATGTGATCTCAGCTACTTTTATAAGACATCCTGCTGCTTTGCTTCTGTTTGTTGATTCTTGCAAAGAATGCTCATTGCAGACGACTGTTTGTTTGATTGATTGACAGTAATTATATACTGCTTTTCGGGCAGGCCTCATAAAGCAGTTTATATAAGATTATTACAACAATAAGCATCCTTTTTTGTTTTGTTTTTAAAGTTACAATAGAACAGAAAAGACAAGTTGTTTAGAAGAAGCTGTTAGTGCTTCTTCTCATTCCCCTAAGGGCTCATTCTCCTCAGGGCTCAATTGTCCTGTGCTGGCAGTACAGGAGGGCAGAGGCCACTAAATGGTGGCTATTGCTCAGACTTCTGCCTTTTCCCAAATGTGAACATTTGGGGAGAAATTTGATTCAGTTATCATTTAAAGGCAAACTCATTTGCACTTTCTGAAACAATATGCAAACTGGAATGCAGCCATCCTTTGAAATTCACAATTCTGCAGATTTTGCAGCACCATGTAATGCATGTGCTAAAGTAAAGTGTGCATAGAAATCTACATATTAGTGGATGGATACATATATATATATATATATATATATATATATATATATATGCGGGTGGCGCTGTGGTGTAAACCACTGAGCCTAGGGCTTGCCGATCGGAAGGTCAGCGGTTCGAATCCCCGTGACGGGGTGAGCTCCCATTGCTCGGTCCCTGCTCCTGCCAACCTAGCAGTTCGAAAGCACGTCAAAGTGCAAGTAGATAAATAGGTACCACTCCGGTGGGAAGGTAAATGGTGTTTCCGTGCGCTGCTCTTGTTCGCCAGAAGTGGCTTAGTCATGCTGGCCACATGACCTGGAAAAACTGTCTGTGGACAAATGTCAGCTCCCTCAGTCAGTAAAGCGAGATGAACGTCGCAACCCCAGAGTCATGAGGATTTTTTTATTTAAAAATAATAATATATTGCAAACTGATGAGGAAATGTGGAGAACTTGGGAAACTGAGACATAGAAATGGGAAGCTTGGTCCATCCGTCTAACTACAGCACTTTTGGTTGTTATGGTTTATCACTAATATTTTGTTTCTTGGCCCAGAGAGGGACATGGAGGGATCCTGACCTGAAGAGCCTGTTGGTTCATCTGATTCACCTACTGTGGGAAGAGTAGGAGGGGATGCTGACCCAGATGATGCAGACAGAGTGCATGACTCATTCCCACTTCCACCTCGTTCCATTAATTGTGGTTGTTAGGCTGTACCTGGCAACTACTTGCCTTTGTCTGATGAAACTATTTGCAAAAGAAGGAAATAGATTTCGATAGGAGCATAGTCATGAAACTGCACGTCTTATGTCCTCAGCACAATCTCTCAAGTCACATCCTTCAGGACTGAGTGTGCAAAAATGGCCATCCAGTTGATGTTGGACTCCAGTTCCCATCAGCCCCAGCAAGCATGTCCAGGGGTCATGGATAATGGGAGTTGTAGTCCACCAACATCAGGAGGGCTAGAGATTCCCCACACCTGATCTAACCAGTTAACAGTCAATTTTGGCATCTAAAGTATTTGTGAAGGGGCAAAAGAAGAGATGCACACAATTTTGCCTAGTATGTGCATTTTCACAAGTAATTTTCTTTAAATTTCCTCTATTTTTGTATGTTGTTTTCATTACTGGACTCTTTAGTCTTCTTTTGTGATAATATGCACATTTTTAATGCATTGTTTGTTTGGAGTTCTGAATCAATATAAAGAGAAGTGCAATTTTTGAAGGGGAGAACTGTATTCCAGTTTGCATATTATTTCAGATGTGCATTAACATGTGAACAGTTTTTTCTACCATCCCTTCATGCAAGCAATCTTGTGTTCTTGGATAAGAGATGCATAGCGTCATGTAATAGCACAGAAGAAGTTGTAGAGTTGGACTGGGATGCAAACACACAAAGAAAAACCTGATAGGGCTGGAGAGCGATGAAGATGGCAGTCAAGTCTCTTAAGCTTTAAAAAAAGTGTGTAAAGCAAATAGGGAGGCGAGAGAGGGTGGGATCTTCAATAAAACGGCTTTCACAAAGTAAAGCAGAATGGACAACTTAGGTGTTTCATAAATAAATTGGCCATTTGGCCGTTTGGGTGTGATCCAGCAGGATTCTTCTTATGTTATTTAACAAGATTTATCAACTAATTAATCAACAGAAACCTCAGAACGGTTTACATAAAACAAAATAAAAAATTAATGGGGAAATACTGATAAAAGCAAACTTTACAAAGCAAGTAAAATAAGATTTTATTAAAATATAGATAAAATCGGTTTAAAAAAAAAGAAATGTACCTAATAACATTATGTGTCAGGGTAAGCTTGCCCAAACAAGAAAAGTGTTTATCATGCATTGAAACCACTACAGCTGAAGATGCCTGCCTAATATTAAGAGGCAGGGAGTTGCAGGGAGTAGGTGCTACCGCACTGGAATATTCATTATGTTCTTAGTGATTACATTTAAATTAATCACCAAACGTAGGTGCCTTATAAATGTTGTATAATTATTATGATTATGATTATTTTATTAAATTTTTATGCCACCCTTCATCCAAAGATCACAGGGTGGTTTACAATAGAAAAACACAAAAATGCATACTGCAATAACAAACAAAAACAATAACACATACACACACACACACCCCACGCAGTTTAAAAGGCCATGTCTAATTAGCCAAAGGCCTGGGAATGGAGGAATGTTTTTTTGCCTGGTGTCCAAAGATGAGAGTGAACAAAGTGATCACACAGAGATCACACAACAGCAATTCCAAGCAATGACCACACACACACCCTTCTCTCTCCGCCAAAGTCCTCCCAGGTCTTCTTCTGATTCTTCCATGTCCATTATTTTTCTCCTTAATCATCTACCACAGGAGTGGGGAAAGTAGTGTCCTCTGGGTGTTGCTAGACTGACCATTCTTGACCATTGGCCATGCTGGGGCTGACGGAAGTTGTGGTTCAGCAATATCTGAAAGGCCACATGCTCCCCAACCTTGATGTAACCAATTGCCCTGTATTGTATCATTCATTCATTCATTCATTCATTCGTTCATTCGTTCGTGCAGTTGCAAAGCATGAGAGTCTGAAGCTGGTTATGAACTTTGCCCCAGGGTGCGAACAGAAATCGCACGCCAGAGGCGCGTGCACAGCAGGAGGCCCCATCAGAGAAAGTGCGCCTCAGGATAAGAACGGTTTCAGCTTAAGAACAGACCTCCAGAACAAATTAAGTTCGTAACCAGTATTGTCTACCAATGTATTGTCTACCCTGAGTAGCAGCAGTTATCTTAAGGTTTAAGCCACGAATCTGCCCAGCCCTGTTTTGGGACACCAGAGATGTCTGACATCAAAGCATATGCTTTTCCACTGAGTTTTACAATATAACACATTTGATATAAAGCAGATTAGACAGAATCACAGAAGAGAGGTCTATTGATGCGTAACACACATGGTAGTTCCAGGGAACCGCTATCTGGAGTAATAACTCTGAATAGTGAAGCACATCAGGTAGAGATTAGGGCTGGGCGATATTAGGTTTTCAACATTGCAGTGGATCACCAGCCAAACATCGCAGTTTGGTGATATGCCACAATGTTGAAAAAAGCTGCATTGGCCCCAGCCCTTATGGTGCTGGGTGAAACTGCTGCAGCTCTCACTATGTGAGCTGAGGCTCTTTCACCCCAGTGCCTTTGTAAGTTGGGGCCAATGAAGCTGGACCAAGATGGAGGGAGTCCTGCAATGGAGCCTGGTAGGCTCTGTCAGCAGGACTCCCTTCCCCTTCGCTGGCCAAGGGGAAGGGGGGTGGCAAGCAACCTCCTCCTTGGAGAAAGAGGCCTCTTGCTCACTGCCGCCCCTGCCCTTCCCCACTGTGGGAGCCCAAATCTTTTCCCCGCTTGTATGCTAGCAGGAGAAGGATTGGGGCTGCTCAGCAGGGGAGCAGAAAGTGCCCTGCCCCCAACTGAGTGAGCCCAGATCCTCCTGCTGCTCTCATGCAAGCAGAAGGAGGATTGGGGCTTCCTCAGCTGGGCAGTGGGAGCAGCTTAACAGTGTCCCCAGCCCCCCTCGGCACACTGAGTGCTGGGGGTCTCAAGAGCGGTGGTGGTTTTGCTAGCGATATACCGCTGAGTGAAACTGCCATCACGCTCTGCCCTTCATACCGGTCCTGGGCAATATATCGATAACTCACCCAGCCCTAGCAGAGATGCAGGAGAAGGTCATTCAGCACCTACCCAATTTGCACTTCCAGAACCAATATGTGAAGGAAAACATAGATATTCTTTCTGAATTTTGTGATGTAGCTCTTGCACCCACCCACGCAAAAATGTACAAAAATGCATTATATTAGAGAAACTTGTTTGTAATAAGGTGTGCAGTGGGAAAATCACATTTAAAAATCAGTATATTAAGAGAAGTGAACCTAAAACTACAAATGTTTATGTGGATATATAGATTGTTACACACCACCCCAATCTCCAAGCGGCGCAAGATTCCAGGGGTTCTAGGCACTTACCCAGAGACTGTGTTTCCTTTTGGGAATGAGGCATAGCAGAGAGTCTGGTGCCTTTATGATATATGGTTTATTTAAACATATACTGTATGCAACCTGAACCTACAATGCAGAGGCTCACAGCATCAACCAAAAAGGTTTTGTTTCTCTCATAGCTGCGGCGTTGGATTCAAACAGAAATCAAGCATAGATCTGCCTCTCTTGCTTTCCAGCTTGCTGATTAAGTTCAAATCCCTGCACACATGAAGCCTCATCCCTGGCTTTTGTCCTTCTCATCCTTTGTAAATTGAGCGAGGGGCCCCACCCATTTGCCATCTCCCACAGAGCCTCTTAATCCCCCTTAATGGCTCATCACCCAGGCTATCACCTCATGAGGAAGCTAGCCCGGCTTAATTAGATTTTAACACTTGCTGGATCTGGGGATTAGAGGAGTCTGGCACTCCAAACTCATAACAATATTATCAACTGATGCAGAAATGGGGCAATCCGAGAGAAGCCAAAATCAACAAATTTGTCCCTCGTAACATGAGGGCAGAAAACCACCATCACACCCTCTTTTGAGCATCCGGAGGCCTAAGCTTGGCTGTGGTTGGAAACAAGTTCTTGAAATGGAAATTCTGTTTGCTCTAGCATGGAAATTCTTATGCTGTGGTCTTTGTGCTAGGTCTGTGATGAATTAGTAAACCTTGGCTGATTTTATGGATTAAAGATGAATCATTTTGTAAAGACATATTTTGTTTCCACTTCCCGGTCTCTCACCCTGTGATTTTCTATAAGGGATTCTTAAAGGAGAGGGAAACATCGGTTTTAATTTTATCTTCTCATTTACTGAGGTGGTAAGTAGAGTTGTGTAGTAACCACAACATTCACCTTGTATCTAAATCTGTAGCATTCGTAAGCAGCCCAATCTTTTTCAGATCTATTCTGTGCTCTTCCAATACGATTTGTTATTTGGCTCCAAATCCTTTATGTTAAATCTGAAACTTTGTTTTGCCTCCATTGACTTTTACAGAGAATCTGGAAACAAAAAATGGGGAAACTAAAAACAAACAAACAAGTGAATCTTTTCACATATGTGGGTGAAATTTACAATCAAAGGAGCCCCTCCAGAGTGGATTAAGCCTGCCAATTGTCATGCAGATCTAGTCAGGAGTTTTTGTGCAGGGAAACTTTGGTTGTTGTTGGTTTTTTGTTGGTTTTTTAAGTCTCTACATTGTTTATTTTCTGCCAGAATTGGATGCAGATAGCAGACATGGTCTCCCCTTCTGAAGGGATGAAGCTTGCCAAATTTCAGAAAGATAGGTGAGTGGTTCTCCTGTCAGGACAGGCATTGCAGGAAGGAACAGAAATCACACACAGCCCTAGTTTTTGGGGGAGGGGCACTTAGTTTGAGGGACATGTGGGAGGTGCCCCTGCATTAGATACCCACCAAAACTCTGACAAATAGTTCCAGGGGCAATCACAGAACTGTAGAATTGGAAGGGACCACGAGGGTCATCTAGTCCAATACAGGAATCCTTCACCCACCATGGGGTTCAAACCCATGACTTTGAGATTAAGAGTCTCATTCTGTACCAACTAAGCTATCCTAGCTCAGAGTTATTGCGCTGGGTGATTTTACCTTCATTATTTTTTTAAAAATGGAAAAGTCAACATTTTCTCACTGTGAATAAAATAGAGTTCTGTTATTTTAATTGTTAGAGAGAGAGAAATGGCTCAGTAACTACCAGGCCACCCAAGTAGTTTACCTGCACAGCATTTTCCCTACTTTAACAGCTAAAATTCATGTTCATTTAACACACATCCAATTATTGTGATTGGAGTTCACCAGGAAAATAATTCAGTGTGATTAAAAGCTAGAGTTTTCTGTCAAAGTGAAAGATTCCCCGCACCTCTCCAGTCCTGCCCTCTCAAGCTCTCATTGTTCAGCTTGGCTTTGTTTCTCAGAAAATAAAGGGGGAACCTGAAGCAAGAGAGATACTCCAGCGGGTGGGGAGTCCCTCATTTTGTCCAACATTGAAATGTGAAATAATTCCCCAACTCTGCCTTGTTAATTGAGATATACACAGAGCTGAAACACACCCCTGGTGGCAAACTTATTTTTTGTTTGTATCAGTTGATGGGAGACCTCATATGGTGGTACTTCTCCACTACATACATTCATGTTGACTTAACATTTCAGAGAGAAGACTCAGATGCAACTCTTCCCTGGGCGTTCTGCCAAAATCTGTTGGGTTCCACCTCAGATTCACCAAAAATCAATGGACTCTGGCCCCAGCTTCTCTTCCAGATAACTGCCCTGTACCAGAACACTTCTGTTAAGAGGACATCCCCACTTTGAAGGGCTACCTAGTCCAAGTCCAAGTAACGAAACCCTAAGAAGGGAAAACAAAGGTCTTCAAGTTGCCCATCAATAATGAAGAGGCAGACAGTCAACTGAGCAGACATATAGGTCACTTAGTCACAGCCTTCCTTGGTTGTTGTTGTTGTTGTTTAGTCGTTTAGTCGTGTCTGACTCTTCGTGACCCCATGGACCAGAGCATGCCAGGCACTCCTGTCTTCCACTGCCTCCTGCAGCTTGGTCAAACTTGGTAGCTTCGAGAACACTGTCCAACCATCTCGTCCTCTGTCGTCCCCTTCTCCTAGTGCCCTCCATCTTTCCCAACATCAGGGTCTTTTCCAGCGAGTCTTCTCTTCTCATGAGGTGGCCAAAGTATTGGAGCCTCAGCTTCAGGATCTGTCCTTCCAGTGAGCACTCAGGGCTGATTTCCTTCAGAATGGATAGGTTTGATCTTCTTGCAGTCCATGGGACTCTCAAGAGTCTCCTCCAGCACCATAATATATGGCAAAATATACTGTACTTCTGCTTAATTGTACTTCTTCCTATATTTGCATCAAACTATGTAAATCGCCATATGTTGCAAACCATCTATGTAAATCAGTGCCCTGTGAGATGCCAAGTACTCAATGTTTCACAGCAGAACGAAATGGAGACACTCTTGAGAACTTGCAAAACCATTATTCTCATCAATGATCAATGTTAGGCACCTTCATCACACACATACACCTGTTACACATTGCAGAAAACCTGGAGACTCTTTCCTTCCAGTAGCACTTCTTCCTTCTTAGGGAGATGAGGGCAGGGTGGGTTGTATATGGGTTATTTCCTGGCCTGTAAGAACATGTAGCAAGATTGGTTGAAACATGCAACCCTCTGGGTGAGAGGCACATGGTGTGGGAGTAGTAGAATGAATGGATTTTTAAAACTATTGTTGTTTAGTCGTTTAGTTGTGTCTGACTCTTCGTGACCCCATGGACCAGAGAAAACTATTAGGTCCATAAATTGCTATAGGTGTTATCTTAAATCAATTGTGCTTTGTGGTGAGGAGAGGGGCACAGCTGAACCAAGAAAGTTCTACATGCTATGATTAGTGGTGGGCCAAGTTCCCTCAGCTTGCCTTACAAGTCATTCATTTCTTCTGAACTTTTCTGGAAAATATTCACAATGCAGTCTTATTTGTTTGTTTTTTTGAGAAACTTGGGGAAAAAACAACTAGGTGAAGCTCATGGACACACACTTTTCAAGCAAGGGTAACTGGTGGCAGATACAAGAGAGACAATAATCCTGCTTTTTATCATAGCAGGCAAATGCAAACTGAAGTCTGATTTTATAATTTAAACTGATGTTCCTCTTCATTCTGTTGCTGTAAGGTCTGTACGCCACTTAAGAGATGATCATAATTCAGCACGTCCAAAGTCCCTGATTGCAAATTCACACCATTATAGTTGATATATAGATATAGATATAGATGATATATAGATATAGATGATATAGATATAGATTAGATTTAGATATAGATATAGATATAGATATAGATATAGATATAGATATAGATATAGATGGAATTATGACTTTTACGGTGACCTGATATGAACCTTCAGGAGGGGAGATAAAATCGGGTAGGCATGGCAGAATGAATACAGAAAGACAATGGAGCTTGTACATGAAATGGCAAGACTGAAAGTTAAGGGAAGCGTCAGTTCTTTTTGGTTCTTTCCATCTCTTTGATGTGATTCAGGACTAGCAGCAAGGTGTTGTTGACAACTTCAAAAAGGTGTGGGGAACCTTTGACCCTTCAGCTGTTGCTACAGCTCCCATCAGCCCCAGCAACCATGGCCAACGGCCAGGAATTATGGGAGTTGTACTTCAGCAACACAGGTTCCACACACCTGAATTAGAGGCTGCTTTGCTAGACATACATAGACATATATAGCATTTCTAACTCCACCATCTTATTTCTTTTCAGGTATTTTAAGTAGAAACCAGAGGCCATGAACTGGGGAGTCTTTCAAGGGCTCCTAAGCGGGGCAAACAAATATTCCACAGCCTTTGGACGTATTTGGCTCTCAGTGGTCTTCATCTTCCGGCTTCTAGTCTACATAGTGGCAGCAGAGAAGGTTTGGGGAGATGACCAGAAGGACTTTGACTGCAATACTGAGCAACCAGGCTGCCCAAACGTCTGTTATGACCATTACTTCCCAATCTCCCACATCCGCCTCTGGGCCCTACAGCTTATTTTGGTTACCTGTCCTTCCCTGCTGGTAATCATGCATGTTGCCTACCGAGAAGCCAAACTGGAGAAATATAGGAAGAAGGTTGGAGCAGACTATGCACTGCGCTATCCTCCTGGCAAGAAGCGTGGAGGCTTGTGGTGGACCTATTTCTTCAGCCTCATCTTCAAGTCTGCTGTGGACATTATATTCCTCTTCATCTTCTACCACGTGTACCCAAACTACACACTCCCCAGTGTGGTGAAATGCTCCCTCGAACCTTGTCCCAATGTTGTAGACTGCTTCATAGCCAGGCCCACAGAGAAGAACATCTTCACCCTTTTCATGGTCATCACTACCTGTGTTTGCATCCTCCTCGGCCTTGTTGAAGCCTTCTACCTTGTTGGGAAACGATGTACAGAGTGTCTTGAGCCCAAAAATGAAAGCCACAGGAGGCAGGGCAGTGAATGGATGAGAAGAGAGGACACTTGCTCTCTGCCCAACAGCAAACATGACCCAAATGAAGTGGGTGTGCAGGTGTTCCATGGTGCAGATTACAAACCATCTACCTCCATCATCAAAACTGCTCCACGTTCCCAGAGAACTCTAAGCACATAAACTACCCGGTCAAAATTAAATCCTGGGAAATTTGGTAATGGAAACCTTATGAAAAAAACAATATGACTTCATTCTCAGAATGAACAGTGCCTGCTGCTAGGCAGGACATTTGCATGATGTGCCAGAAGGCATGTCAGTGTATTCCAATAAAAACAGTAGACATTGCTGGTGCGCACTTATTCATCCCATGTCTGGAAAGGAAATCACTGCAGCAAATTTGTCGTTGTCGTTTTCAGTCCACAAATGATATGCGATGATATGTAACTGATGGTGTTTTCTCCCCCCCCCCACCCCCCAAAAAAGTATTATGTTTCCTTTTAATTGAAATGAATAGGGAAGAATGACATGATTAATTACATAAGATTGTGACACAGTGAGAGGAATAATGTCGTTTTATGTCAGAAGCCGAAGTGCAGCAGGAGGGAAACAGAGCTGCATCTGGAAAATATGTGATGGAACAGAAAATAGTGCTTTTTTGCATCCCTTTATGCAAGGTGGAGATGGTGAAAGGAATGGTCTATATCAGGCCCCAACCCAATCAGGCTGTTCGATTTTCTGATGTCCATATTTGATCCAAGAATAGTGTATTAAATAGTCATTTCCAAATTCACTGGTTCCCTCAGCTCATTCCATCTAAACCACTTACATTGTGTACTGTCCCATAACTCATCCAGTCAAATTTTTAAAGACCTCCCCACCACCAGCGAAAGGTGGCTGCCATACTTGGTACTGAGATCTCAGGAGTGAAAAGCAATATTGAAATAAAGATCGCTAATGGAGAAGAAATGGTGTTGGTCTAGTCCTGTTGCAGCATTGCAGTTCTTATTCTGAAAAATATACACATTTTCTTTTTTTATTGATATTATTTATCGAGAGAGAGGGAGAGAGAGAGTCATATACTGTATAACATACACAATAAATGGGATGCGGGTGGCGCTGTGGTATAAATCACTGAACCTCTTGGCCTTGCCGATCAGAAGGTCGGTGGTTTGAATCCCCACGACGGGGTGAGCTCCCATTGCTCTGTCCCAGCTCCTGCCAACCTAGCATTTCGAAAGCACACCAGTGTAAGTAGGTAAATAGGTACTGCTATGGCAGGAAGGCAAACAGTGTTTCCGTGCGCTCTGGTTTCCATCACAGTGTTGCATTGCACCAGAAGCTGTTTAGTCATGCTGGCCACATGAGCCAGAATGACAAACACCAGCTCCCTCAGTCTGAAAGCGAGATGAGCACCACAACCCCATAGTCGCCTTGTGACTGGACTTAACTGTCCAGGGGTCCTTTACCTTTACCTTTACACAATAAATGTATACATACATATGAATGTATACAAAACTCTGGGTGAGAGCCAATGTAGCACAAGCAGACAGCTCTGTGCACAAAGCGGGGTTTCTCCTTCCTCTCCTCCCCACTATAGGTCACGTGTGACCCCAATTCCAAATTGTTGGGCAGACTCTCCACAGCAGTCCCCTTGCACAAGGAGCTTTCCATTACACAAGCAGGCAGACATCACTGAATGTTGCCTACTAAATCTAACTGCTGAACATAAAATGTAGAATATATTTTTTTAAAGATCATATATGTGGGTGGATATGGGTGTGGGAGAGAGAGAACTGAATCAGTCCCTGCTCCAGTTATTTCCAACTCTGTTTTCACATATTCCACTACAAGATTCCAACTATTTCATGTCACAAACTCTTAGCATTATTGTCGGTTAAATGATCCCCAGCTGTACTCAAAATTCCCAACTAATGCTACAACCCTAACCTCACTTACCTCATTGAATCCAATACAGATTATTTCTGAGTAGACACAGACAACATTGCACTGTACATCTTCCTTCCTGGGTTTGTGATTTACCTTCCCAGCTTCTTTTAAAAAATGGTTTTTATTAAAGTTTTTGTGTGTGTTACAAAACAAACAGATGAAGAGGGAAAGGTACATCTGTTGTCTACACTTTCAATTGAATAAAAAATTCTTGCTAAGTTGACATATAGAAAACCTCTGAATCTGTTGTGGTTGTTGGTATCTGTCTGTCACGAGAGACAATGGAGTGCACCTCTGGACGTGAAGTCAAACCACTGCGTTAGCAGCAGCAAAGTGACCTCCCTGGGGTGCAAGCCTGGGCAGTGTGTATGAAGGTCCTGGGCTGCCCAGAGAACAAGACCCACTCTCAGCCTCACTGATATGGTCCAAAGGAAAGGAAAGCCATATGTCTGACACCAGCTTCGCTGCTGGAGTTGCCAGAAGGAAGTGTACAAGGTGCCATCCAACCGTACTAGGGACTCCACTCTGGATTTGTGTTTACTCCTTAGCTTTTTCTTCTTCTGCAAATATCCTTGAAGGCAGTGGAGGTTTAGGATCAGTGTTTCCCTTCTCCAAGGTGGGCTCCCTTCCCAGGTTGACGAGCCCCATCTGCTCTGCACTTCCCCTCTGCAGCACATGCAGAAACTGCCTTCTTAACCGTTAGACCCACTATTGGTCTCATCCCCTCCATCCTCCAGAGCCTGTCTTTGCATGCAGGGGATGTCCCTAACTCACTGAGGGTTTGAGACCCACTGGCTACCCTCACCTGGTTTAGCTAGCCAGTCAAAGTCATTTCCCAGGATGTGGCCACTGTCGCATGCTGGCAGCTACTAGGAGCCACAAGTGATAGCTGAGTGCAGGGTGGGGGCAAATGGTGGATGAACGATCCCAGAAGGAGCACAAGTTGTCCCCCACCAGAGGTAGTACCCGCTCCTCTAACACCCCAATTTGTTGTGGTACTGTCTGGTTATCTACAATAAAATAATTAATTAATGGCTGAAATCACTATAAACCAATATTTCCAGCAGTTCCAGAATAATATGCACATTTCAGTTGTGGGGGTAGTGAGCAGAATGGCAACCCAAAACTTCAGAAGGGGTCATCAGACTTGTGGTGGTCAGTGATACAAAACTGGCAGGATGTGTTCCGTTTGGTGGGGTGCGCTTGCAAGCTGCCCAGGCCTCATTACACACAAGAGCAATGGATGTTTGAGTTCCGGAAAACCAAATGTAGGAACATAGAAAGTGGCCTCAGACTAAGTCAGATGTTTGTTCCGTATTACTCAGTTTTGTCCACATTGATAGGTGGCACTTTCCTGGGGTTGCAGGAAGGAATCTTTACCCGCCCTACCTGGAGATGCTAAATCTGGGACCTTCTGCACATGAAGCATGCACTCTATCACTTGCCTTGCCTTCTTGGGGTTTCATCTGACTAAGTTTTACTCAAAGTAGAACCATAGAATTGTAGAGTTGGAAGGGACCATGAGGATCACCTAGTCCAACCCCCTGCAATGCAGGACTGTTTCACACAACGTGGGCTTCAAGCCCACAACCCTTAGATTCTCTACCAACTAAGCTATCAATCTCACTGAAATGAATGGACCTAGCTTAATCATGCTCATTCATTTCAATTTCTCCTCTGCAGAGAACTAGCACTGGATACAGCCCTTGCTTCCCTCTTGGTTCAGGAGAAGAACCAAGTTTGCAACAGGGCAAGAGGCATCATAAGGCTCAGCCAAGTTCTTGCACAACATTTATGCTTAAGTTCCACCTGACCATTTCTCATTTGAGTCTTGTTCTTCTTGTTGAGCCACAACTTAGTCCTTCTTCCAAATTTGATTGGAACTCTGCAAGCAGTGGCAAAATCCACCACTCCCTTTGCAACCTTCTCCAGTGGCTAATTAACTGCTATTGATGGGGCAATTGCCATTAAGGAGGTGGCATAGATCCCCTGTCACCTGCTTTTTGTGAACCTGTGGCATATTTGGCATCTTGAGAAACTGACCTCAGTTCTCCCTTTCTCGGTTGCTACCTGTGAAAGAAGCTTTCCCAAAGTGGAAATGGATGCCTATCTACTGTGCCAAGGCTGCCTTGTTTGTTTGTTTGTTTGTTTGTTTGTTTGTTTGTTTGTTTGTTTGTATTCACATGCCATCCTGTATTTCCACTCAAAGTGCATAAGTCACCGCATCATAATAGGTTAATACAGAAGGGCCATGGATTATGTGAAGTATTGCAGAGAAGATTATGAAGAGAGTTATTAGTTAAGGATAATTAAAAAGTAATAGAGAAATTAAGAAATGTAGATTAAGTGATAAAGATTGAAAAATCTTCAGATGCGGTTGATAGATGTCCAAAACATTGTATAAGATAAGAAAGTATGTTATATGATTTTTGGAAATTATTTGTAAAAATCAATAAAAATTTTTTTTTAAAAAATAGCAGAAGGGCCACAGCTCAGTGGCAGAGCATCTGCTTTGCATGCAGAAGGTCCCAAGTTCTATCCCTGGCATGCTGCAAAAAAATCTGGGACTGAAACCCTGGAAAGCTGCTGCCAGTCAGCACAGACATTACTGAGCTAGATGGACCAGTGGGTTTGACTCAGTATAAGGCTATATTCCTATATTCCTATGAAAGGGGCCATAGCTCAGTGGTTCTGCACATGCATAGCATGAAATACATCCCAAGTTCAAGCCATGGTATCTCTAGAGTTGGGAATGTCCCCAAGTCTGAAACCCTGGAGAGCCTTCTGCTATGGACAACCCTGTGCTAAATAGGCCAAGGGTCTGACTTGGTATAAAGCAGCTTCCTATGTTACAAGAAGTTGTCTCATAATGGTCTGCTGGGCCATGTAGCCCAGAACTGTCCAAAGTGAATGGCAGTGGTTTTCCATACCCTCAGAAAGGAGTCATTCAATTCCAGCCATGCAGGGAGATGCTGGGAACTGAACCTGGGATCTTCTGTGTGCCAAAGTGCACTACACAGCATTGTATCATAATCACAAGGATTACACTGTGAGCCTTAACCCACTTGCTAGGCAGGAAGTTTCCCTGTCTTTCTTCAAAGCATTTATGTACCACTTTCCATCATGAACAATCCCAAAGGAAAACAAACAATACTAAATAATACATAAAACAATTAAAAAATGGTATATTTTGAAAATGGTATATTATAGTGAGTCAGACAATTGGTCTATCTAGTTCAGAATTGTCTACACTGACTGGCAGCTCTCCATGGTTTTGGGCAGGGGGTGCTTCCCCCCATACCTAGAGGTGCTGCAGATTGAACCTGGGGCCTTCTGCATGTAAAGCAGATGTTCTGTTACTGAGCTACGACCCTTTCTCTAATTTGCTTAGTTATTTTATTTGTAGATTATTACCCATGAAACATCCTGAAGCAATTTGACAAGAAAACAGATAAATCAAAACTCGTAAAATAGGATTTCCCTTGCTTACTAGCCACATAAATTCCAAACCCACTAAAACACCCTTACCTCAACAGGTCCATCTGTCATACTCTGATGAGACCTGTTAAAATCAATGGACTTAAGTCTGTTGATTTTAATGGGTTTAACACAGAGTATGATTTAGTTGGATATCGCCCAAAGTTTTGTAGTCCTGTGATTTCCCTGGAAAGGGAAATCTCAGCTGAGCCACAAAGTTCATTGTGTAACCTTAGGAACATAGGAAGAGCACTGCTGGATCAGGCTAAAGTCCCACCAAGTCCAACATCTTGCTCTCACAGGATCCTGCTCTCACAGTGCTCAGCCTGATTCCTGTGAGAAGCCCACAAGCAGGAACTGTGTGCTGTAGTACTCTTCCCCACTTGTGCATCCCGGCCAAGTAGTATTCAGAGGCATATTGCCTCCAATAGTGGCAGTAGAACTTAACCATCATGTCTAATAGACTTTGATAGCCCTTTCCTCCTCCATTGATTTGTCTAAGCTTTTAAAGACAATACTATCCCTTGTGGGAGCAAATTCCATCATTCAGCTATGGACTATGTCCTTTTGTTCACTGGCTCCTGGCCAGTATTACAAGAGATGACTATCCACTTTCTCCACACTGCAGAATTTTATATGCCCCTATCATGTCCCCACTTCTTTTTCTAGAGTAAGAAATTGTAACCATTCCTCATGGGGGAGTTGTTCCAGCCTCTTGATCATTTTCCGAACCTTCTCCAGCTCTACAGCATCTTGGCTGAGATGCAGCAACCTGAACTGTGCACAGTATTTGGAGAGATATACCCAGCCTCATATAACCAACAGGTTTAATTAACGCATGAAGGGGTTACAACCATAAAGTAAGCTTCCCTGCCAAGCTTAGTTAGATCACATCCCCCTCACTTGGGATGAACAGCTACCAAATTCTTTGTTCTCCCGCTTCCAACCATGTGACCCCTACCAGAAAACCCTGGCTCGTCTGTGCCATGAGGTATATGTTCCCTCTAAGAATGGTTGTCCAACTGCACCGGCACCTTCTAGTGCCTGCATTCCCTGGAACTTGGAGGTAATTTGACACATACACCCCGTTATTCCACAGGTGAGTTGGCTGCCCCAAGTTCAGCGGGAACCTTGTCCACGTGTCCTTCACATCTTCTGCTGTGTATGGGCCTGGCATGGCTCCTTCTGAGATGCTGGAGGTGTCTGGGGTAGCACTGGAGTCGGGATTTGGGGGTATTTAGGTAAACAGTGGAAGACAGGAGTGCCTGGCATGCTCTGGTCCATGGGGTCACGAAGAGTCAGACATGACTAAATGACTAAACAACAGCAACAGGTAAAGAGGAGTAATCCTGACTTGAGTCTGGATTAGGCATGACAATCAGTTACTGATCCATAAATGTACCTGTCATCTTATTCCATGACTGTTAAGCTTATTGAGGAGCCTTGGAACCTTCTGTTGCTCTGTCTCTCTCTCTCTCTCTCTCTCTCTCTCTCACACACACACACACACACACACACAGCCTAACCTACCTCACTGGGTTGCTGAGCTGATGAAATGTAGGGGGTGGCTGTGTATGCTGCCCTGAGTTCCTTGGAGGAAGGATTCCAGATATAATAATAATAAT